CTGTCTTTGTGTAAACTTTTGCAGCATGTTTTTCAATTTGTGACGGTGTCTTGCACTCAGGAGGTGCTGTCACACATTCATGATTCAGCTTCCTTATAACATGCCTTTGTGAATCCATTGCACTTTCAAAATGCATAAAGAACTCAACTAAGTTTGCTTGAGGAGATATGTAGCTTCCGAACCAACTATTTAACACTCTCAGACCTAGAAGTTGTTTTCAGTAGGCCACCCATTTTGACATCCTTAAAGTATGCTGGTATCCACGACTTTCTAATCTGAAATAGATTGTTAAACCACTGATTCTCTGTTAAGGCAAAATCATTCATCAATCTTCTCCGCTTTTCTTCAAATTCATCAGGATTTTATGTAAATATCCCACACAATTTCATTCAGTCTTTTGATGAAGTTATTATCCTTGGCTAATGTAGGACCAACCTTTACATTTACCTTTTCCATGATATGCCACATGCACAAACGATGTCTTGCCTGTTTGAAAGTCGCCTGAATTGCATTCTTCATAGCAGGATCTTGGTCAGTAACAATGTAATATGGTTCATTTCCCATAGCTCTCAAAAAATTTTCCAATAACCAAATGTATGATTCCACATCCTCTTTAACCATCAATCCAGCTCCAAATGTGACACACTTTTTATGGTTGTCAATTCCTGTAAATGGTACAAACACCATTTTGTACCTGTTTAAAGATAGAAAGCAAATCAGAATAATAAATGAAATTGTTAAGTAGTATATGACTTGCAAGTTTATGATATATAACTATCCTAGCAGTTGTCTGTTGTTGCTAGGTTAGTTGTTTATTGTTGCTAGGTTAGTTATGTCTAGCTGCTAGGTTAGTTGTCTGTTGTTGTTAGGTTAGTTATATGTACCTGCTAGGATAGTTATATAACTCTGCCAGGTTAGTTTTATCACGTTGCAATGTTAGTTATATGTTGCTAGGTTAGTTGTCTTATTCTGCTAGGTTAGTTATCTGTAGCTGCTAGGATAGTTATCTGTAGCTGCTAGGTTAGCTGTGTTTTGTTGTTAGGTTAGTTGTTAGATGATGCTAGGTTAGTTCTCTACTATAGCTAGGTTAGTTATCATACGTTGCTAGGTTAGTTATATCTAGTTGCAAAGTCAGTTTAACTCACATGCTACTAGAAAGCATACATTACATATAAATTAGAGTCAAGACAAGGGAAATGTTTGCGTACCTGTTAGTTTTGTAGGTTGCGTCAAATGAAACAACATCTCCAAACATGAGGTAATTTTTTCTTGAAATCTGGTCAGCCCAAAAGATCCTGCTTAATTGATTATTTTCATCCACAGCATATTCAAATGCAATGTCCGGGTAAACTTCCTGCTTGTTGAGAAATTTCTGAATGATGAGTTGTGCATCTGCCCCCGACATGTAAGTCATAAGTTCTCTTTTGAAGTTTTTGAAATCAATTGCCAGAGCACCAACATTTTCATATCCTCCAACCATTTCCTTGTATAACCTGTGTGTTTTAGCAGGTCCAATGTTGGCTTTTACACAATTAAGGACAAACTTCTGATGGCCATAGTTCAGTTGCCTGTTTGCATTCAAATAATGTGCTTCCAATGTCAAACTGTGGCTGTGTTTCTCTTCGAAATATGTAATTTTGTATCCTTTTCCATCATCGTATTCAAACACTGCCCGAGCCATGCAACCAATTCTTCTTGAAACACGTTCTCGATGAACTCCTGTTGAATTTTGGGGTCTGGATTGTAGTTTAAATCCTTCCTTGCTGCAAACTATGAATTGTTTTCTCACCATCCCACTTCTAAAACGTTCTTTTGTACTAGTACGAACATCAAATCCACCATTTGCTCCATAGTTTCTGTAATATTGCATCCCAATTTCCAGATTCTCAAAGAGCATGCCAACTTTTGGTCTTACATCTTCTTTGACAATTGGTATCCAGTACTTTGTTGAATTTGGTGATATCACCAATTGAAATTGACATCCATCATGTGTAATACCTGTTGCAAAATATCATACAAAAACATTAGCCTTAATAATTGCAAATGCAAGGTTATTTGTATCGTGTTGCAATGTTAGTTGTATGTTTGCTGCTAGGATAGTTATATCTATTTGCAAGTTTATATGTCTCTTGTTGCTAGGTTAGTTGTCTCTTGTTGGTAGGTTTGTTGTCTTTTTAGTTGCTGGGTCAATTGTCTGTAGTTGCTAAGTTAGTTATATTTATTTGCTAGGATAGTTCTCTGATGCTGCTAGGTTAGTTCACTCATGCTGCTAGGTTAGTTGTCTCATGCTGCTAGGTTACTTCTCTCATGCTGCTAGGTTACTTCTCTCATGTTGCTAGGTTAGTTCTCTCATGCTGCTAGGTTAGTTGTATGTAGGTGTTGTGTTCGTTTTATGTGTTTGCTAGGTTACTTCTCTCATGCTGCTAGGTTACTTTCTCTCAGCTAGGTCAATTGTCTGTAGTTGCTAAGTTAGTTATATTTATTTGCTAGGATAGTTCTCTGATGCTGCTAGGTTAGTTGTATGTAGTTGCTAGGTTAGTTCTCTCATGCTGCTAGGTTACTTCTCTCATGCTGCTAGGTTATTTGTATGTAGGTGCTGTGTTCGTTTTATGTGTTTGCTAGGTTAGAACTCTGTTCTGCTAGGTTAGTTGTCTACTGCTGCTAGGTTAGTGATCTAGTGCTGCTAGGTGTTAGTTATATCATGAATCAAAATTCCAGAATAACATGGACAATTTATTCAACATTATCAGCAACATTATATAATTTGAACAACTGCATCAACATTATATAATATTCTTGCCAGAAAACAGAGATTCTACAAAAATCAAAATTGCAGATAAGCACTAACAATTTTTTCAATATTACGTGATTGATTCTAATTGAATAACTCGATTTTCATTCATGGTGAATTCATCAGCAACTATTTTATTCAAAGTCAGTATACCTTCTTCCATTAATGGCGCAACTGGAGTTGCTTCGATCTCCATTGAAGCTGCTTCCGTCGACATTTGTAGATAAATTTGATGAAATCGACTTTTTTTCCCTGGATATTTTTTACGAGCAGTTGAGTTTGCCTATAGAAAACGAGAGTTAAACCAAATCAGACGATGAAATCGAACTTCAAATTGATAAGGAAATCGAGATTGAGAAAGAAATCGCAGAGAATCGTGATTGAGGAGGAAATCTGAGATATTATTTCCGATTTTGTGTGCGCGCGAGCTGAAGGTTTATAATTATATATATACCTGATGTTGACCGTAGATTTAAAAGGTAGATTCAACGGTTGAGATTGGGTCTCACGTCCACATTTTAAGAGGTGGACCCATTGGATCCGTCCCCTATATATATATATATATATATTTCATTTTATTAATTCTTTAATCTTAATTAAAGAATGTATAATAATAAAAATATTATAATTATAATGGTGATGATGGATAGTTGTTGGAATATTTAACAACTCTCATCTACCATATTAAATAATAATAATAATTATTAATTATTTAATTTTAAATATTAATCTTTAATCTAAATTAAAGATTAATTAAATATAATGACACATAATTTATGAAACTAACTTTCAAAATTAATTGGTCAAAATATTATCTCCCATGTAAAATAAAATCTCCTCTTTTAATTAGGCTTTTAATATATAATCATATTAATATTTGGATTTTGAATTTTAAAGTCCAACTTTAAAATCCAACTATCAATTTAGTAATTCCAATAATTACTTAATTAATATCCAATGCCTAATTAATCAATCCAATTGATTAATTTATTTTATTCCTTTAATTGACATCTAATTAAAATTAGATTTTAATTAAATAATCAAATTATTTAATTAAGACTTGTCAATTAATCCAACTATTGGTATACCAATTTCAAAATTGTCATCATCCAAAATTTGGTGTGACCCTTTTAGGTTTACAATTAACACTAGTAGTGGGTTTACAACTCGTTTGTAATTTAAATTAATCTAATTAATTTATATTCTTGAAATTAACTCCTTAATTTCAAGAACCCACAAATCATGGTAACACCTAGCAAGTAACATGATTATATAGTGTTAAGTGAAATAGCGAGTAAACCTTTTTTCAATTGCAAGTTCATACATGTAAAATCCTTTCGATAACTAATTTCCCGATTAAATCTTGGGCATGGATTTATAAGTCGAAACCCAATTGATTTAATAACTATGATTCTATTTCAAGTTTAGTGATTCCTTTATGAATCCATATTCATCCCGCCTTGGCCAAGTTCTTTGAATCACAAACTATGAAAAACATAGGAAATTCACTTATCCATATAAGTGTCGAATTCTTTGTAGGCCACAGATAAGCCTCCATACATATTAATACAATACCCAAAATATCCCTTTTATGATTGTCCATCAATCAAAGGATAAATCAAAGTAAAGCACAACATGTACAAGATTACTATCGTGCCTCAAGTCAAAGGATCAGTCATGTACTATTGCAACATGAAAATTCTTATTCGACAGTTAAAAACTTCCAATTAAGAATTTTCATCGGGCCATGTTCAGTGAACTTGTTCTCCAACAAGCACCTGCATATATGCATTTGCGTCCACACGCTAATGTTGATGGAATGCAACATTCTCATCCGATGAGCATACATCATATGCACAAGTCTTACCGGGTTATTCGATATCCTGTCTCGAAATACCCATCGACTTGAAACTTATTTAAGATCACAGCTTTAAAGACATGTCCCATGATTGCCATCAAATGCGCAACCATACCTCATAGCTAATAATGATCTAAGGACTTTATTATATGTGCAAATATAGGATAAATGCAAAAACATAAGATAAAGTTATGCCTCAAAATAATATAATTTCCAATAAATTGTCTTTAAAGGTAGAAAAAGATCCAATCAGATTGGAACGCCGGGTATTCTACTCTAACACTCTCTTATTTAAGCCACAGCAAACCTCTAAGCCTGCCCTAATTAGTTCCTTACTTCTCCCTTAAAATTTCACAATCCAATTTGTACAACTTTTCCTCTCGGCAAGGCAGCAAACTGGCGACCTAGAGCACCAGTTCCGGCGACCAATGAGTACTCGAGCACACCGAGCGAGAGCAGGCCTTGTTCGTGGCTGAAGCAGCAAACCTGGCGACCGAGAGCAGACAATTGACGGCTCTTGAACGAGCAGGATACCAGCGTCGAGTCCTTTTGCCAAAACAGAGCATTTCCCTTAGTTTTTCGTGGAAGGTACAGCCCTGAGTCTCAAATTTTTCTTTTATTCATGCGGAGAGAAATTTGCCTTAAATTCAGTTAATAAAGAACTGAAAATTATTCATGCCTTTTGCCAAAGCAGAGCATTTCCCTTAGTGTCGGGTCGTAGAGTGCTGTCCAGAGCCGGGTCGCAACTAGCAATCCAGACATACCGCAGCGCCTAAGTGACCCGTTCAGCCCGCAGCATCCAAACGACCCGTGTAACGAGTAGCGCCCAAGCCAGACCCGTGCAGCGAGCAGCAACAACCCTCAGCAGGCCTAAGTCCAGCCCTGCAGCAGCGCCTGAGTCGAATATCAGCCCGTTTAATTTTAAAACCATTTTTTTCGAGCCTTAGCCGAACCTTGCTTTTTATTCAAACCTTTAGCCAAGCCTAAAAAATAAATTAATTAAGTTAATAATTTATTTTATTACTTCATTATATGAAATGTCGTATTTATGTTAGATAAATTTGATCGTGTAGATATCGAGGAGGCAAGCTCTCGAAGAGCACACTGAGCATTTCATCATTCACTCTGCAATTAAGGTGGGGATTCTGTACTACGTTTTTATCCAGCACATCGCATGATATTATGGTTGTAGTATGATATATGAGCTTAACCTCCCTTCGGGGTGCGAGACCGCCCTTCGGGGTGTGATACCACCCTTCTGGGAGTGAGATGTGAGACCGCCCTTCAGGGTATGAGACCGGCTTTCGAGTTGTGAGTAGGTGAGACCGGGCCTTCGGGCAAAGAATTGGCGGCAAATTACCGGCTTTCGAGCTGTGAGGCCCATCGAGCAAATGTGGGATTCAGATTTATTATGTACATGCTATTATTATGTCATCTGTTATTTTCTTAAATAATTGCGTAGTATGGCTCCCCACTGAGCTGTGGTTGCTCACCCCCCTCATTTACCCATTTTCAGGTTGATCGAGTTGGTGGCAGGACACGGGATGGTAGAGTGGTCATGTTTCGAACAGTTTGTTGTTTTTATGAGTTGATTTTGAGTATGTTTGAGTATTGAGAATTGAGAAGCTAAGTTTCCTGGCAAGTTATTCGAGTTAAGATTATGTAATTTCCGCAAAGTTTTATAAGGAAAAGTTTTGTTGTAGTGACTTAGGTAACAAGTTATTTTTGAAAANTGAAAAACTTAGAATTTCGAAAGTTAAATAAGAGGGCGCTACAATACATACTAATGCGTAGCTCCTGCGATGCACGAGAAACAATATCAAATAATCCTAACGGAGGAAGTGAGAATTACTATTGATCCTCTTTTAATAAAAAAAATAATAATTATAAATTAAAGATGACGGTAAACGATATAAAATAGCAATTATAAATTAAAGATGTAAAGTTAAATAATGTAAAATTATCTTGCATAAGAGAACATAAAGTTTATATGTTTAAAATATTAAAAATACCTAAAATGTTATATTAATATATGTAAAATAAATTCTAAAATTTCTATATTATCTTTGAAGGATGTGAAGTCACCTACAACTTTTCTAAACTATTTTAGAACGAAAACATGTCCGAAAACATTTAAATTTAACATCTGTATGAATTTCTTTTTCTAACAACTTTTCTAAACTATTTTGGAAAGAAAACATGTCCGAAAATATTTAAATTTAACATTTGTATGAATTTCTTTTTCTAAACTATTTTGTAAAGAAAACATGTCTAAAAATATTTAAATTTAACATGTGTTATGTATATATGTATATGTATATATATATATATGGAGAAGGGATTATATAAGAAAGGAAGATAGTGAAAGAAATAAGAATGATTGTAAACCATTAGATTCATCAAATCAATGGACATGATCAAGTCAAATATTAATAATAACAACCAAATATTACGATAAATAAATGATAAATTGGAGTACATTAGTACATATATACAATTAACCATTAAATAAGGACAAAATAGACATTTCTACTATCCACTCATCCACCCACGTGGACCCCACGCATCCCACCAACCACACCAATAATCACTCTCTCCCACACACAAACACACACTCTTTCTCTCACATACTCACACACACGAACAGACACACACACACACACACATTCATTCTCACCGGCACCGCCCCAAATGGCCCAAACCTGGCTGAATCTGCCGCCAACAATAGGCCACAACCCGACCGGCCATCGCCGCAATCTTCCGTTGTAATATCCCTCTCAGTTATCTCAGTTATTATGAGTTATTATGTTATTTCAGTAATTTCGAGTCCAAGATAGTCAGTTATCGGATCGAAATTAAGAGTTTTTCAAGGAAACAAGCCACACGAGTCGTGTGATGAGGCACACGAGTCGTGTGGGATGAAGAAATGATGAAAGTTAGCCTCGGCTTTTCCACACGAGTCGTGTGACAAGCCACACGAGTCGTGTGGAGCCACACGAGTCGTGTGACCTAGCCACACGAGTCATGTGAGGTCACACGAGTCGTGTGACTAGCCACACGAGTCGTGTTGCCGACAGTCCAATTGGATTATTGAGAATCCGATTGTAATCCCAACCACAAGCCATTTTTGAGGTTTAATTATGAATTGGATGAGTGAATAAGTTAATCATAATATATTTTAAAGATTATTTAAGTTTATAAGTTAAATTTTATATTATGATCATTTAATCACTCTATTTGGATGTTTCTCCAATTTGTGCCTATAAATAGAGGCCTAAAATTCAGAGTTTGTACACCAAAATAAAGTTCCAAAGTTATATAAGAGTGAGAGAGTGATAAGTGGTAGAAATCTTTGGAGAAGTGAAGAAGTTGAAGTTAATAATCAAGTTTTAACTCTACCAAGAAGGAGGTAATTTACTTATCTTAAAGTTTTATACTTAAGTTCATACTTTGATGATAAGTTTACATGTTAATGAGTATGTATATCATGATTTAGAAGTTGAAGTTTATAATTGATACAAAGAGTTAAAGTTGTTAAAGATCAATTATATGATGTATGTACTTGATGTGATAAGATGTTGAATTGCATGAGAATTTCATGAGGATATGAATATGCTGGAAAAGTATGATTTAGATGAGTAATTCTTATGTAAGAGAAGAGTACATGAGAACAAGAATTAAGTTATTTAGCATAGTATAACTAAAGTTATGAATTTTTGAAGATGAACATGCAATATGAAGTTTATGTTCACTATGACTTTAAATAACTTGATGTATATGCATGCTAAAATTATGAAATTTTGATGATATGTCTACTATAAGTTGAGATTATGACTGTTAAGTTTCATAATTTAAAGATGAGAAATGAATAAGTTATGAATATAAGAAGGCCTATATGTAAAGATGAATATATATATATGCAAAAATATGCATGAGATGTTCAAATTGTTAAAATGAGATTTTATGATCTATTCTCATATGAGTGATGAACAATTTGATAAAGTTTGATTTAATATGTTGAGTATACAATTTTATAAAAATTGTATTAAGTATGGCATATTAATATCATGATTGGATGTGATGTTTAAAAGAGGAATATGGTTGAGTTTATTTTCACTTTCAAGATGTAAAAGTGAAAAATGAGTATGAGTAAATATGAATGATTTGGAGAATATGATATATGAGAAGTTAAGAAATTGATTGAGTAAAAGATCAAGAAAAGTTAATTTGAGAAATGATATGATTATTGAAATTTCTATAAGATTTGAATGAGTATCCGAATGAATTGAGAAAACCGAGCATCTTATTGAGTAAATGAGCATAGGTACTTAGTATATTTGTTTATATATTTTTATGTAGCTTGAGGAGGTTGCTATACGAGAACAACACTTACGATTTTTCAAAAGACGAAAGGTGGGGACCCAGACTGGGTATTACATTGAGTATAATATTGATATCATGTCCGAGGTATGTAAAAGTTTAAGTTTATACGCTTGGGAATAAGGCCGATGAGTTGTCTTACGAGTATTTCCTAAGTTCTAATGGAGGCCGTTGAGTTGCCTTGAGAAATATCCATTAGATTGTGCACAAGTATCCGATGAGATATCGGTGAGATGAAGTTGAGATACTGGAAGAGTTTAAGTCCAGTTATATACCGTAGATCATGATATTGTATTATTATTGCTGTTTACTTTAGTATGGGTGTTTTCGGGGTACAAGAGGATCAGTACTCACCCCCATTATGTTTTTCAGGAACCAGGGTCGGGCCGGAGGTGTGAGCTCGAGACGTGGTGGTGGTGGTTGTGCATTTCAAAGGACTTTTATGAAGTATTCAATAAAGTTTGTATAATAAATCACGCTTTCGATTATTCCGCTACGCATATTGAATATTGAACTTGCATTTTTAAATGAAATTATGATTTGAAGTTTTTTTACCAATTTGAGAAGTATGAATATGGTTAAATGCAAGTTTAAAGAAAATCTATTTAATTATGTCTAAAAGAGTTATTAGACAAGAGTTTAAAGATAAATGGATTTTCAAGATGTAAGGTTGAGTAGCATCCCGAATTAGTCGCAAAAGATTTTGAAAGAGATATGAGTATTTTCGAAGTAAAAGTTGCGAAAAATTTACTCTGATAAGCGGGGTGTTACAGGTGGTATCAGAGCTAAAGTTTAAGAGCTCTGTATACTAAAAGGTTTAAGTTTGAGAAAGAAATGTTTCAGGAAAAACCGACCACACCACACTCACACCTCGCCGACTACCAGGTAAGTGTTGTAAAGGTTTTACGAAGTTTTTATATAAGCAAATTACTAAGTCTATGCTCAATAAGATTCGGATATCCAAATTATAGAAATCAGAAAAGATGCTCAATCAAAGATGTTAAGTAATATCATATTTACCCTATGAGAAATTGAGATTATCGGGTTAATGAGTAACTCGTATAGAAATAATGGCTTATCATTGTTTCAATATGTGCTAAAGTTATTATGGGATTAATAACCCAGATGGCACGAAGAGCGATTCAAAGAGAAATGACATCAGCTGA